GAAAAATCAGTGTACAGAACAGAAATGGGGTAAATACATGATGTGTAAACATAATGTTTATTTACCTTAGTTTTTTGAAAATACCTTAGGAGTCTAAAAGTTTTCCGGGATAAAAAGTATTCTATGTTTCAATCCAGGTTATAAACTATATGTGCACCAAATTTCATACAAATCTGCTCAGTAGTATTTGCGTGATTGTGTAACAGACATAAAAACTATCATATTTATAATATTAGTAGGGCATAAAAAAATTACGACTATAGGACGAGAGAAAGGAAATATTTTCTGAAATATGGAATAGATTATATTATTATTTCATAAATAGCCCAGTAAAATTACCTAGTAGCCTGCAAGTATGGAAAAATACTAGAGAAAAATTGATACAGACAATTAGGGATGCGGTAGTATAATGGTCACTGCATCCGCCCGGATAGCGAAGCGTGCGGGTTCGAATTCCGTCTGCTGCCTGGTCCATGTGGATTTTTTTCTAGTAACATTTCCTTTAGATTCAAACAACAAATAGTAGTTAAATACTTTAAAAAATAGCAGAAAACGGACATGTGGTGTTCGCATGCGATAGAAGTGAAACCTACAAAAACGTCTTAAAGACAACACCTGTGTTAAAATTCAACTCTCTAGGTCAAAATTAAACATTTTATACTTATATTGTTAAGTTGGTGTCGACCTCAAGACCGTTACCGTTTGGCTATCAGTATCTAATGGTAAATGATAAAATTACGGATACCTATCTTGTGTCAAATATACTACTTCCGTTTCATCGAATCTCAAATCTCAACGATGCTAAAGAAGTTTTCACTTCAAAAATAAATATGGGATAGTATGCGTCTAATCTGCTAGTACGGTATTAATTTTACTAGACTACTACAATAAAATGATTTCACATAAATAGCTTTGGTAAGCATTCAACATATTTGTATTCAAAGCAGACAAGACATAAATGGCACAGCGTCATTTTCAGATGATTACGGCTACCCTATATATAATAAGAAGAATTGGTCACAATCCACACGACACGCTATACCAAAACCAGATAAGTACCCGGGCGTTTTTCCCCGCCCCCCACGACAACAGCTGAGCCGAGGTCTGAGTCTCAGAGACGCCCTCTAGTTTAACCGACCCTCTCAGGTTTGAGTGGTCTAGAGGCTCCAGGTGGAGAAGGGACTCCCCCCGTAGGGAGATACCATCCTCCTGAAATACCTCTAGAGGCACTCGCCAATTCTCGGCTTGAGGTCCCGTAGGATCTCGCCGTCCCCAAGCCCGGTGACGCTGTTAAGGTAATTTGCGACCAACAATACACGCTCAAAAAAAACTACAACCGAGACCAGTGTATAATGGTGGTGGTAACGACTGCAGATGCAGCCACGAGGAACCATTTACTGCTGTAAATGATCCTGAAGCACGAAGGATAACAAGATAAGAAATTTTTGGTCACTCGATCATATTTTTCGTATAACGACCTGATGGTAAGCGGCGACCATATCCCATAGACGATTGCGATACCAAAAATATCACTCGTACTGTTGCCTTCTCTGACCCAAACCCTTACCCGTGAAGCCCTGGAACCTTGCTCCTCGACAGTAACACATCACTACCAGTAGCTAGAGATGGGCGTTTTTAGATATTTATGAAATCGATGCGCATCGGTATCAAATACCTATAATACCAAGGAAGTACCTATAAGAAAATCAAACAAAATGACTAGATCGCTTTATGAATGTATTGCTCACAATGTCGCCGCGAAAATAAAACAGTACCACGGTACAAATACTGTTTCCGGAAATTCCCAGAAAAAAACAGGACTACTCCTGCACCGGTTACACGAAATTGTATTCTGAGGACCAGGTTAAATTTTTGAAGATAATCTTCCTCCAATGCATGCTGGGAGTGCCTTGCTCAAACTACACATCTCAACTCAGCTCTGCGTCAGTGGAAACAATATTAATGGAGTTTAGATGAATAAATTAAAATGTTATGAATATAATTAAGTGAGGAGTTCGGTTGCGCAACTGCTCAGCGTGTTCGGCTGCAATCGTTAAAGTAACAAAACTTTCGCAGTGGTCAATTACTGGATGGGTGACTAAAAATTTACTATCTCGACCTCTTCCGCGCTTCGGAAGGCACGTCAAGCCGTTGGTCCCGGCTGCATCTGCAGTCGTTAGCACCCACGATTTCGCGTTGGCCCCGCGTGGTCAGTCATGGCCCAATCTCCCTATTCCATCCATAGGGAAGGCCCGTGCCCCAGCAGTGAAGACATTAATAGGCTGATGATCATGATGAAATTAAAATGTTCAACGCGTGGAGTCAAGGTAGGCGATGCGGAAAGTTGTCTATTTATCATGCTGAACGAGAAAGAGCGTTGCAGCACTGGGAGTTCATCTCAGTACCCCTAGCACGAACCATTATCGAATTCGAATAGTTTGCAAACCGAAATGTCAATGTCAAAATTTGTATGGAAACTTGAACAGCAGCGGCACAAAGTACGTAACGGGAACTAAAAATCAGTACACATTTGACAATGACATTTCGGATTCGCAAACGTTACGAATTCGATATTGGTTCGTGCTAAGGGTACAGTATAGATGTGTCAAGTGGAGCGGAGACGAACTTATATTTGAGGAGCTGGCGAACAAAACGGTATAATTACGCATATGGTGACGACCTCCGTGGCCGAGTGGTTTGTACGCCGGGTTTCATGGTGTCTCCAACTCGAGAGGGGTTCGATCCCAGATCCCAGGGGGGGCAGATGTTTGTGTGAGGAATAGGAGCATTTGTACTCCAGTCATGAATGTTTAATATGTATTTCTATATAAATATAGTTATATATGTACAGTATGTGTATTCTATCCGTTACCTTTGTATCCCATAGCACAAGCCTTATAGTGCTTACTTTGGGGCTAGGCTTACTGGTGTGAGTGTTAGAAATATTATATTATTGTTATGGTTTTGATCATATTACTATTATTATTGTTTTGACTATATAATACTTTATTTTTACAGCCCGGAGGTTCTGGTACAGCTGAGTTTGGATTTCGACTCATGACAATCAGAACCGCCTAAAATAGTGTTAAAATTACAAATCACGCCAAAAGCTCACTGTAGGTATGTCATTCAGTTTTTTATAGCTCCTATAAAATTTAATTTGATGTAATTATAATTCCCCATTTTTAACGTAATCTAAATTAGAACGTCTATGTAATTTGAACTTGTAATCTAACGCTATTATGAGCTTTATTGACTTACTAGAAATTATAAAAAAAAAACTTTGAGTTTCTTTACGTAGGTGCCTACACAATTTCTCAGAGTACCCCAAAAATGTATATCAACTTCCAAAATTAATCATTGGTTCTCAAACAATAGGCGAACTCTGACGAAATCTGGGATGCCAATCAGCCATTTTGTAAAGATGAAGTTTCTTCCGTGGAACAAAGTTTGATTGCTTTTTAGCTTATCGGACACTTGTTACCAATGCCACTTGTTAAACTTCGTTCGCTTATTTTGAGCGAATAAATTTAAGTTTTGTTCGTTACCTACGAATATTACTATTAGATTGATGAATTCATTTTATTATACCTAGTGTTTGACGACTTGTTTTTAGTAATTCAGAATAGAACATTATAGAAGAATGAAAGAAATTTATATAGAGATATTTTGAGTCCGAGGAAAGACAAAGGATAGTGATTACATTTATTTATTTAATTCTTATCACACACTGCACATACACACATCAAAAAAAGTTTGCAAGAGATCTCATCTCTTGCAAAAGCTGATACATTTTAAAAATTTAACTTTATCAAGAGAAACTGCTTGGGTTATATCTTTTTTTTATTTAAAATACACTTTCTGAAATTAAAAAATTGAACTAATTTTAGTTTTTAGTATAAAAAAAATAATAATTCAATCCTGGGGCGATTGTTATAGAACTTTGATAGAAATATAAAGATTGTTTAAACAAACTTAAAAACCTTTTATTAATAAATTGTTGTTTATCTAATACAAAATAACTCCTCTTCTGGCTCGAACACATGCGGAGATCCTCCTGGGCATGCTGAGGATCAAGTTATCCAGCATTTCTTGTGGTAACCTGTCCCATTCTTGAGCAGCAGCTTCCCTGACCTGCGGCACTGTCTGGGGTGGTGGCTGCCGGTTCCAAACAGCTCGCTTAAGAGCATCCGACGCCTGCTCTTTTGGGTTTAAGTCAGGAGAGCCGGCAGTCTAGTTTAACCTTGTGATTTCGTATTCTCATATAGCAGCATTGACTCGTTGAGCTCGATGTGCGGGCGCATTATCGTCAACCAGTACAAATTAGTGCCCATGGTTTACCCGGAAAGGTCTGATGATTCCATCAATAGCGACTGTTTTGTATCTGTCTGCCGCCATGAAGTCTTGATAAGGGATTAAAAGCGTTCTAGCCCCAATCATAATACCACCCCAAAAGGACACTGATTTCCCGCCTTGCTGAACCGTTCCAGTGGCCGTGTGCCTTTCAGAGTCTTCCGTTTCTTCTATCATATATATATATATATATATATATGAGCCGAGCTAACCTCCAACTTTCATGCTCGTCGGGAAGAGCTGCGCATGCATCCCACACACACACGCTCGTGGGACACTCGTGACGCATTTCCATTTCTTCTTTTCCGTAGGATTTTTCCATTTACACCCCGTCCGCACAGAAGTTTCACTTCAATATGTACTTACGTACAGATTCGGAATGGTAACGAGGCCAAAATGAGGTAATTACCATCGGTATTAATGAAATTAATTACATTTGCTTTATCATTTTCAATCTTTGTCACACAGACATGCTTGAGTGGTATACTTTTTTGCTATCATTGTCGAATGCCGTTAAAGGTACCGAAAAACACATAATGTTTTTGAGTAATATTAGCAGAAAAGTCTTTATACATAGTCTGGATACGAAGATTTCCATCTTTTCATAAGGTTAATTTTGATGTCGTAAATAAAATTACAAAGAGTTTCGGATATTCTCGTTTATTCCTAGAAGTCATGAGGTAAACAATGCTAAAATACTTTTTTACGAATTCACCAATCGGTTCACAATCACAAACAGACAGGTTACTATTTCACTAAAGAAAACAATTTGTTGCAATCCATCATCTGTCTACAAAGAGTGATGCAAACATTTCTCAGAGACACGCTTCTGCAAATTATATTAAATTATTTCATAAAAAACACTCCCATTTATTTTAATAATCATGTGGACAATGTTTGCATATTTTAATGTCAAGAGGGAACATTGATTTTCATTAATGATTACTAAAATTAAAGCTACATACGTACACTAAAATACATATAAATACGCGATTAAATTATCTTTTAATAATCAAAAGTTTGTGAAAAAGATATTAAAACATAAAAAGAGAGAACATAAAGAAAGAAAACGTGTTACGTAAAATTAGATAACAAAACAAGATGAATAACAACCAATAATGTAAGATTTTTATTGCATGCGATTTGTATAGAGAATGAGTCCATTTTGATGAAGACAAAGTTCATAAGCTTATTGAATACGAAATAAAATACTTGAAATTAGTGAACTAAAAAAATATATGTGACTATTTATATGGCACGGACTATTTTAAAAAAGCTTTACATAAGCCAAATGACAATTACATATAATTCAAAAGTAACGAATATGATAATACAAATTCAAAAGAAAGCTCACGAAGAAAATAACAAGTTGAATTATGAAATTTACTAAATTAACTTTACTTGTAAGGAATATGATAGTCGGTAGATTGACAATAGGAACAACGGGACTGTTGCTTAAACTACAATACTGATAAAGATTAGGAATAGGCTTTAAAATGGTTTTGGTCATGAAACAAAAATGACTGATGAACAACCTTTATCTAAGACTAAATGGCTTCAGACGGTTGCCAGGAATATTATAGGAATGCAAGAGGTTCTTTTGAGAAGGACACTGTGACGAATACTGTTTAGCTAAGGAGGAATTTAGCAAATTAAAAAAATATCTTAAACTTGTTTATGGCATATTTATGGCTACCTCATGAATCACAAACGTTAGCACTCAATTTTCTGTACATTATAATCCAATCGTATTTTTTATACACCATACTTTACCAATATCAGTTTAACAATTATAATTTTACTAACATAATATTGTTTCATATATAATAATCTAATCTTATTTACATTGTAATTTTTTGTTTATAGAATTGACACTTTATTAAATAAGGTTTTTTTTTATTATATATATGATTTTGTAATCCTAATGCATGTTTTGCACTATTTTCTGATATTTAGGCCTATCCCATCAGAAAACATTAAAGTTAATATCAATGTAAAATATTGTCACAAGATTTTATCCTTAGGCACGAAGTGGTATACAAATCCCATATATTTATTGCCTTCTTTTATAATTTCCATGAAATCTAAATTAATAATACTATTCGTAAAAATGTCTTTTCTCACGGGGAAGTAATAAATATAAATATTTCTTAACTAACACTAATATTGGTCGGGATTTAGGAAATACAAACACTTTCAATATAATTAACATGCACTTTCATATATTATAAGTATACGCAATTTTAAATTCACTTTGTTCTGAAAATAACCACTTTTATAACACTCACTTCATACTTTCTTTGAACGAATATTTTATTCTGTTAGTATACAAAGTCAACAATATTTTGGCACTTCAATATTCTTGCCACTCAGTCATCAATGTTTTATATTATAAGAATACGCAGAAACACATATCACTAGTTTTTTACAGATGAGTAACTGTTTTTAGAATGTAACTCAAATTAATTACATTAATTTATTTAAGTCTATACAATCCATCAAGATTAAATTCAGTACAACAAAGCATCTAAGCTTTACTTATACCACTTATTCAGATATTTGGACACACCTTTACTGATCAGATGCAGGAACAGTTTACTAATAATATTTTTTAAGTGATCAAAGGCTTCGTTTAGCAGTTTCGATCATTTCAAGCATAAGGCACACTCGAGGGACACAAATTACAAATTGTCAAGGTATTTCTGAGCGAGTTTGGTCAATGCGCAACTAAGTGCATCGTATACTTTGCAAAAGTCATCCATATAAGATAAAATACACAATCAGGGTTAATTTAAAATTAAACGAAATATTTTTGAAATATTTCTTTTAACATTGCTACTGGAAGTATTAGGACCGTTTTGCATTAAGCCAATAAGATATTGAATCACCCTATGTGTACTAATTTCAATGCGTAACATGTATGTATATACATTTGTATTTGATGAAACGCATCGCCAAGATCAAGCACTATAATATCACTCAATACACATAATTATCTCACACGTATAATGTCAATTTGCCATACATTTTAAATATTATTAAATACATATTTTCACGTCAGTTGGTGGCACTGGTTGATGGGCCATGATTAGCTTCTTGGTGTTTGTACTTATGTGAGGTCATCTGTGAGAGACCTAGAACAGCAAACCCACACTGCAAGCAGTGATAGTGAGTTTGTTTCTTGCTGTGAATGCATTGGGGTTCATAGCCACAACCTGTAACAAAATATTACATATAATTTAATTTAATTTTATATATTAAGTATACGTTTTAATGGCATCATTTCTATATTTATATTATAACCCTTTAAATACTACGTTTATATAATCCTAAGTAACTTCTAGAAACTCAATAAGAATAATTATCATTTTGGAATAGGTAAGGTTTTTTGAAAAATCTACTTTAAAATAAACAGTACCTTTGCTTGGTGGGAACTTTTCAAAGCCAGCAGCCTGGATTGAGTCTAACTTTTGATGTTGACGCCTATGTGCAACCACTTTGTTGGTGTCAGTGCAAACGAAGTCACACTTAAGACAATGGAAATGTGAAGCCTTGTTCTGACCTGTACCTGTAAAATGAGAAAAATATCAAAATCGAGAAATACCTAAGCAGGGGATTGTTCACTAAGGTTGACACTGATTTAGTAAGAAACAAACGGCACTTAAGTGAATTTTAGTGTTGTGAAGTTATTTAAGTGTATTTATCAAAAGTAAATATTATGCAAGTGCAGATAACTTCAAATTATCATCTCTTAATAATAAAGGAATTAGTCGTTAAAAGACGAAATTCATTTGTGTAACTTTTGCGTGATCAATCCCCTCAAAGTATATAGAAAAACAATTGAAGCTTTTACTCACCAAACGTGGAAGCGTGAGGACATTCAGGTCTTTGGCAATAAACGTTAGCTCGATACTGCTGGAAATCTCCACCCATCAATGTGTCTAGTCTGTCAACAATAAATAAATTATGTAAAGAGAAATTCAAACACGAATTTCACATATTCAAATAGATTACGTAAGTCCACAAAGTTGTATTTACCTTTCATGTCTAGCCGTGTGTTGGACAAATCTTGTCTTGTCACAGAATGAATAGCCACAGTCTTTTCTTGTACAATGGAAATGAGTCTGGTGCTCCCTGTAAATAACAAGACAATGGTAAACCGGAAGTTCAGTGATTTAATTAATCATCATTACCAGCCTATTAATGTTTCCACTGTTGCGGCACATGCATTCCCTATGGATGGGTTAGGGAGTTTAGGCCCAGTGCAGATTGGTGGGTGCTGACGAGTGCAGATGCAGCCTGGACCAACGGCTGAATGTTCCTTCCGAAGCACGGAAGAGCTCGAGATAATAAACTTTTGGTCACCTATCCAATGACGGACCTCTGCAAAAGTTGCCTAATATCAACGACCGCATCCGAACGCGCTGATCACTCGCATCATCGAGCTCCACCATTTTTTATGTATATTATTTATCAGTAAGTTAGTATTATCGCCAATTATCCAATATTGTTTTGAAATTACCTACATTGTTCAACATAAATACAAGTTGTTTAAATAGATAGAAAGTTCCAGTTGGAAAATATAATATATACCTGTATCCACAATGTTGATACGCGCAGTCTTCGTTAAATCTGAACCTAAGATAACCCTCAGGAATCGGTTCATCCTTCAGGACTCGCATGTGCGGCCCTCGTGTAGTGTGCGTGCGTCTGCTAACAAAACATTAAGTATGAGAATATAGATAAATTAGTCACTTCAGTTAATTTAAAAACATTGGAATAAATATGAACTACCTTCTTCTTAAATAAGAATCACTGAGGTATTGTTTTTTTGGCTTAGAAATTTAATACACTTGAAAGTGTACAATAAAACTACTTAGTATTTACAAATTAATCAAGAAATTGTAAATACTTAATATCATTTGCTATTTGAGATTTGCCAATAAAATAATTGAAAATGTTTCCAACTTACGATTTTGCAATGAGTTCAGCTTCTTTGTCCATTCCTGGTGGTAGACCATGTCCTTGCAATAAGCTTTGTTCTAGAAGTAGCTCTGGTGGGTACAACATCGTTGGGTACAGGGGGAATGGAGATCCACTGAAAGAGATATAAATATATTTAACACAATTCAACGCTTGAAATTATCAGCTACCTAATGAAATTCGGTTGATGTGTTTCCAAGAAATTTAATAAAAATTAAATTGAAATTTAACACACTTCAAAATGTAGGACTAATTTAGAGATCCTATATGATAAACACCTCAAATCGAGTGACTGTGTATTATTATTATCCGTATCATTTTAAATTATATTTTTCAGAAAGCTGTCACAGATGGTTAAATTCAGTAGGCATGTGAAGATCTATTTAATTATCAAGTATCAACTTACCCCTGCGAGAATAGAGCAACTTGCGCAAGTCCCGGCAAACCAGCCAATGACGCTGTATACTGCTGTTGCATCTTCAACTGATCTTGCAAGCTGCCTTTACGGCCACCAGCAAGATACTGTTGAAGGAGCAAGCTTTGAACTGCTTGCACCTGAAAAAATAAATATGTTGTAGATAAGTTAACTGCGAATATGGTGGATAAACGTAATATTATTATTTTTATTCAGAAAATTATTGACTAAAATCTGAATTTGATTGTTTACTTACTTGCTCCGCAGGATTAGGTGGACGCTGGCCCGGCGAAGGAGCCTGACTCGTGGAAGCAGAAGATGCCGTCGAAGGCAGTATAGAAATTTCAGGATATTCTCTTTCTAGGGTCTCTTTCGTCGCCGCTAATCCTACCGGTCCGGGATCCATTGCATTGCTATGTTTCTTCACCATGTGACTGAATAGCAATTTTAAATCAACGTAAGCTTGACTGCAGTGAGGGCAATGATAATGGAGGTTCATTCCTCCAGCATTTTTATTCAATGGACATGATTGATCATGGCACGAGGGTGGAATCGTAGGACCAGATATTTTGGGAGGTTCGTATTGCTTCTTCGGATCGTAGTCCATACGTAACTTCATGTCTTTTGATGGTGATGCATCGTAAATGCTCCTCGGTGATGGAGATGAGGTATTGCTCCTAAGATGAGATGACGGATAAAAAGTCCCGGCAGCTTTTACTACTGGAAACAAAAGAAATTGATATAAGTGAATAGCAAAAACATTTCATACACGTATCTTACAATCTTAATAGTCATCGTCAAATACAATGTATATGTAGTAAAATTTATAGTCATCAACTTCCTTGTTTCTAATATTTTAAGGATAAGTCTGCTCGATTTATAAATCGAAAGGGGAAAAAAAACTAAATAAATTCCTCCTGAAATCTTGACCGAGTTGATTTGAGACCAAGAAATAACACCCTACACTTTTTCCCTAGTATCTGTAAAATTTTATTAAATTTTCTTTCCAAGTGAAGTGGCTATTCGTGCTCACATCCCTACTTTCTCAGGTAACCATGTAAGACCAGCATTGGACAGTCTACGATATCCGACGCATGCTTAGTGGATTGTCTTTTTAGTGACGCAACTGTTTAGACCTAAATTATTGTATTTATATATAAAGTATATTGCTTCATGTATAATTTTTGTGTCACTGAATAAACCATTGTTCTCGCATTCTTTCTTTAAATATTTTAATATGGTACGAAATAATACCCACCCGAAACGTTATCTTGTTCGCGATCAAATTCACTCTTTATAGAAAAGTTTGTTGGCGTGTATGATTCCGAGGGCTCTTTCATCGAGCTCACGCTATCGACAGACCCACGTTCCTTCAAGGAATAGTCTTTGGCTTCTTCATAAGGTTTCTCTTGATCTTCACTCTTGATGACAGGTGTGCCTCTGCCATGTTTATGAGTTGCCAACGCCGAATATTGTGTTAATATAGCGGGACAGTTGTTCCCTTGAGCGCAATGGAAGTGATATCTTAGCTGGTTCTTGAAACAGCTCTTTCCTCCACAGTGTTCATATGATGTGAAGTAGTCGAAACCTTCCATCAAGGGACTGATGGAGTGAGATTCTCTCATGTGAGTCTCCATGATGATGTGAGATTCTCCGGCGAAACTACAATTAAAGCAATGAAGATGGAGACGAGTCAATCTTAGCTGACAGCTGGGATAAGATTGGCTGCAGGTGTCAGGACTCGTAAACACTTCGAAGTGCTGGAATTTGATGCGCTGTAAGAAAAAGAAAGGATATCAATACCGCAAACAAATACGGTGATTGTTTAGTTACCAAGGAAATTCTGTTGGGACGTATTTACTTACTGGAAACTCTTCAACAGTAGTAATAACGGAAGACTGTGATACTGGTGGAAGCTGATTACTTTTAGGAAGCTTGAAAGAGGTGAAAATCGCTTGAGGAGTTACCTGAAATAAGCAAATGAGTTATGATAATATGTTTTCAAAAATAGAAGAGCAGCACAAAAGTTTTGGGTATCAAAAGCTTTTCTTACGTTATCAGTCCAGACTTCTACCACCCTGTTCTTTGGCGGTCTGCCACGTTTCCTGCTAAACATTTCATCCAAAGAACTCGATGGGTTTATTTGTTGAGGAACTATGCCCGGATTGGGACCCAAATTCAGCTGTGCTTGAAGATTCGGCGTAAGCTGAGTACTCAAACTAGGTGCCATTTGGGCTAATTGAGCCAAATTCGGTGGGAGATTGGCCAAACTTGGAACTTGGCCTAATTGAGCCGCCATATTGGGATGTAGTTGAGCTGATAGCTGAGGCGTAAAGTTGGGCGCAAATCGCGCCGCTAAGTTCGGAGACATAGGGCTCAGTATTGCGTGTTGTCGATGATGTTCCAGCCTTCTAAAAGGGTGTTCTTCCGAGGAGAGAACGACGGCTCCGCAATTTTCCTGAAGATTAAAAAAAAATTTAATCTCGAAGAAAATTCTCAGCTATTTACTTTAAAGCCATTGTATTATGGTCCGTAATAGCTTACCCAAGTACAATGATAATGCGTGATATCTCTGATATGTTGACACGCAGAATTTCCACAAGGATTGTTGCGAGTGTACGTCACAAAGTAGGCTTCTGTCACTTGGTTTTGCTGCTCATGCTCCATGACATGTTTCACCATGGTAGTGTGGCAACTAAAAAAAGGAAATAAGAAACTGTATCTACTATATTACGCCAACATTCTCAGGGAATCTCATCAACAAGAAATAAACTTAATTGATCAATATCGAAAATATTTTACAAATTATAGTCTTACCTGTGTGCCATTTTACATCCATCAGCCAAACAATGGTAATGTTTGTTCATAGCACTGCATTTACCACATTTTTCTTCGGAGTTGTTTCCACAGTTGTATGTTTCTATATATTTGCGTGTAACCTCTTCCACTAATGCGGGGTTCTAAAACAAATCATTTCAATATTACACAATCAATATATTGCATTCGCTGTGATTGTTATAAGATTTTTTTGCAGTAAATATATGGTAAATAATTTTTAAATTTAATAGCATTTTTATTATTTAACTACCATCTGACACATAAGAAAACCTTGTAGACAAAATTGTTTCCGTTAAAAAGTTTACCAATGTGCACCAACTAAAACTTTATCTTGAGTCAGGTAGAAAATGATAAATCTAATTATACTCTGTTTGTCGTTAAGACAAAAAAGGTTTTGCTTCTTTAAAAAAACTCTTTTTAATAAACTTTAAAGTGAATCGTACAAATCAGACTGCAGGAAAATAGTTTTATAAAGGCACACTTACGAATGGATAGGAAAAGTCCGGGTCCAGCATTGAATTTGACATGTCATCGTCTACGTGAAGGTTGCTGCCCGGCGAGTACATGCTGAGGTCGGCACCTTGCTGCATCAAAGCACTCTGTATCACCGATGTTGGTAGACTGCGGACAATAAGAAATCACGACTTATTTAGCATCAGGGCACTCCGTATCACTGACGTAGGGAGACTGAGAACGATACAAGATCATGTCATCGTAATAAACCATTCACATAGAGAATGCATTGAACATAGGGAACTTAGGGATCAAACTATGAAGAAAAACTAAGCAGATGAGTGTTAGAGTGATAAAGCGATCGTGTGACCTCGTAAAGGTATTGGCTGCACTATCGCTCTTTGCTTTTTAGAGTATGGTCAATTACATGCGACTATTGCGCAATCGATTATTTTCTGATTACGCATATTGTATACCTAGATCAGACTTTAAAAGAATACGTAAACATTACCTGGAAGTTCCTGTCAAAGTTTGTGTTAAAATAGGTTTGAAACACACTGACAAAACAGCATTGTGTGAGATCACTATTGCTATCACTAATAATACCAGTCTAACAAAACATCAAGTGGAGAGCAAATAAGCAAAAAAGCGCGAAAAGAACCTTTTTGCGCAGAGTTTTACCGGAATTTGAATGTGTCAGTTAAAATTATGCAAAATACAGGAAAATGTTTGCTGATTCACAAAAAATGCGTCTTCGTTTTGTTAGAATGATTCAAATTGATCGTCATGACGAAACAAAAAAGTAAGAATATTGTTTGCTAATATCATGAATATTTTGTATCTAAGTTTTTCGATAGTGCAGTGGTTTGGTCAATCATATGCGACTATTGCGGAATCGATTCTTTTCTGACTATACTTATTGAATAAACCAGATTTTAAAAGGATACGTAAACGTTACTTGGAAGTACCTACCAAAGTTTGTGTTGAAAATGCTTGAAACACACTTACAAAACAGAATTGTGTGAGATCACTATTGCTATCACTATTAATACCAGTCTTATAAAACATCAAGTGGAGAGCAAATTAGCAAAAAGCGCCGATAGAACCTTTTTGCGCAGTTTTTACCGGAATTTGAATGTATCAGTTAAAATTATGCAAAATCTAGGAAAATGTTTGCTTATTCACAAAAAATGCGTCTACGTTTTGTTAGAATGATTCAAATAGATCGTCATCAGTAAACAAAAAAGTAAAAATATTAATAATTGTTTGCTAATATTATGAATCTTTTGTATCTAGATTTTCGATAGTGCAGTGGTTAGTGCATTGGATCTGCGATAGTGATAGTCCCACAATTTTTGCAATATCCACTCTTATGATGGGTGACCAAAAATTTACTATCTCAAGCTCTCGGGCTTGGGACGGCACGTTAAATCATCGGTCCCAGCTGCATCTGCAGTCGTTAGCACCCACTAATCCGTGTGGTGGATCATGGCTCAACCTCCCTATTCCATCCATAGCGAAGGCCTGTGCTGCAGCAGTGGGGACATGCTGCTGATAATGACGCAACAATAAATGAAGTATTTTTTTTATTGTCTTCGCAGGCAGACGGGCGGACGGGCCACCATACGTTAAATTGTTCACCGTCACCCATGGACATTAGCAATGCCAGTGATACAGCAATGCTGCTGATTTAGGTGGAACACTGTATTTAACCTCTCTTGAAGCGGACCATGTCAAAGTACTGATGGAATACGATCAATATCAATAGTGTTGTTACATACATACATATATAAAAGAGATTTTGTAACTCCTTACCCAAAACTCATCTCTTGCTCCTTCCTCTCGTGCTTCCTCTTGTGCGTGAAGATCTGGCTGCTGGAGTGCAGCACATAGTTGCAGTGTGGGCGGATGCAGTGGATGTGGTTACAGGTCTTGCTGAACCGGCAGTCGCGGTAGGGGCACGCTTCGTTCTTCATGTACTTCTTGAAGCCGTCCTTGGATAGGGCCTCGTCTTTAATGTGATAAGTCTTGTGTTTTTCTGCGGCGTTGAAATTGTTAGGTTTAGAAACGTCGATAAATTGTTAAGTTTAATTTAAGATGATGACGACACTCTTTTGACGACGGAAGTAGAAAAGGTTAAAATGTCAACTTGGCAAGCCTTAAATTTGATTAAAATCTCTGGGTGGGGATGAAAGCCGATAAATAACAAAACTTACTCTTAGTAAGACAATCGTAATTTAAGTAATGCTTTCGTGGTTGATAGAGTACCTAATAAATTTATGAAGGTACTGATGTGAAAAGGAAAAATAATTTGATCAAAACTACTATATAGCCACTGTTGAATTTCAACTCCTATCAATATAGCATTCAGATATTTACAAGTTTCCCATTGAGTTTGAAATATATAAATAAAAAGTTGAAGGGTGTCATCATAGACGTTGAAGAGGATCCTACAAGATAAGTATACAATGGTTTACTAAACACCATCTAAATGATGACACGACTAATTCAATTTTTATTGCAATACAATAGCAATGGCTTTTGAAACTCAGGCTATATTACGTGCCCAATGCTCTAACTAAAGCCCGCCAAATATATTAAGTACAATAATATTTAAAAAAAGCTTTAAGGATAATTCCCTTTTTTATTATCAATCGTACATCTTTAGGAGGTAAACAAGATTTCTCGGAACTATCAAAAGACGAATACTTATTATTTGCGGTTTCTCAGAAAATCGCTGACATTTAGTTTTTAAATGTTAAGAATTATACATCTGTGGTTTATTTCAACTACTATTACATACCTTGCTCTTTCTTGATTTCGATTTCTTTTAACTTTTGTTTATTGTGTTGGTTCTTGGATGATTTTGTAATCTATAGTTATTTTCACCTGAGCATTTGATATCTGGGCATCTATTTATTGTATATTGCTATCAACGCTCACCAAAAGTGACCAATTTTACTATAATTATGAAATCAATATTTACTTATACTATTGTATTTCAGATTGACTTTTTACTTTGATTAAATTTGCATGTATGTTTGATGTCATTTGAATTTTAACAACATACCCCCAGTGAATCTTTGCATACACTTACATTATGTAGAAATTAACTAAATTTGCAGCTTTTGTAAATAATGAGAATTTGACCCCAGTAAACGGTGGTGTCAATTGCGTACGTTCATTAAACTTGATTCTTAAACACTTTGGATCTAGGTATAACATATTTATCTTACTACTTACCCATGTCAGCTTTGTTCTTGAAAGTGTACGTGCAGCCTGGTCTTCTGCAGTGAAAGTGTGTCGTCCTCTGTCCAGCGAAGATGCAGTGAGGTGCTGCACAGCTCTCTGTAGCCCTGAACCTTTGGAATCCCTCTTGGAGAATGGCACTGTCTTTCCTGTGGTAGTTTGCATGCATTTGTACGTCGGACGTGGAGATGTAGACCTGGAAAAAAGTTAATAAATTCATACAAAAACTGAAAGAATAAAACACATTCGAGTTATTCGAGCTTGTATAAATAACACTAGCTTTAATGTTAATAAAAGGGATTCAAGATTCAATCTAACATTACTAAAAATGTACCCGGACCCGTTAGTCGTCAGTGGTTAATGTTAATGCTTGTCATATCAATTCCATTTTAACAAAAGAAAATTATTTTGAAATAAATTCTGCTTATAAATTTTGAATAATAAAAACTATCAATATTTGTGATTCATCACACCAATGATCGTGTTCTACCAACTAATATTAAAGATAATACACGATGAGGCAACTTGACATTTCGTGATTCCTTAAAAGTTTTAACAATGGTTGAATCATTCAAAGATTGCGATGTTGAGTATTCTATCTTGCATTACGATATTATGCGTCTTATATTACGACTCGTGGCAAGGTATGCACTTGAATACGAAATAAATATTTTGCTGAGATGGCAATGAAAACATTTCTCGATAAAAGCAAACTTTTAATCATCTCAGTATCTACTGTTTGCTCGATTTCTTGGCTCTTTTCCTACTTTATATCAGGCAAGGTAAAATGGTAATATACATAATGTTTCTCATATTGGTAACAAGAATTTGGAAGTAACTTTGAAATGAATTTTCTCTATGTGTATTGTTATCAGATTTACAACTATGCTCAAACTCAACACTTACTAGTTTATCTACACTAATGATTAGTCATATCGACATCCAGTTACTGACATCAGATCAGTCATCTCTACTACACATAGTACACACTAACATAGGTACACCATTTAAAACTGTAGATGCGTTATAATTACCTTATCGCAACCATCCTGAATACAATGGTAGTGGGTCTGACTCCGGTTGTGTGGGCAGTCGCTGAATCTCTCAGAACAATCGTCCAATGGAGAATATCTCATGAAGCCATGCGCTAAAGATTCATCCCTTTTCTTGTGCCACTGTGGAAAAAAGCCAAATTTACCGTTACTGAAAACTTTGTTATTGTAATTCGAACTCTTTCATTGGGATGTATCCTCCACTTTACAGTAAACTAGAGTAAAATAACTTATGGTGGTGTTTTATTTCTTTTGGTGAATAATGAATAATTTCAGGTGTAATTTCAGGGCAGTTCGGGGGTTAGTGATTAAGTTTAGGTCGGCAAGGTTAGGATGGCTGGAATGGCACATTTTTCTGTTGTATCAACTAACGTCGCGACTGTTTTTCATATAAACTGAACTTTAGGTGGGGTGAGGCAATAGGTTCAGGTTGAGTAGAATCACGTATCAGGTCTTCGCGTGTAAACAAAAAAATAATATTAGGACGCAAACCTTGAAATGCCTGATCATCTCTTCCTTCTTGCAGAAGACTCTTGCTGTGCAGTCCATACAGTGGAAATGCTCCCGGTAACCAAGGTCTTTGCAGTACGACGAACCACATTCTAATGTTGAACTGTACCTAATGGAAACAAGCAAATCAGTTAAGTATGGTATAATATTTGAATTAATATTAAAATTTTCGGGTGATATAGTGGCTCATCACCAGCCACATTTTCCCACTGCTGGGGACATACTATTCTTGTGTCTAGAAAAAGGGGCCATTCATAACCCATCACGCGGCCCAGTCAGGATAAGTGGGTTAAAACCACTTTAAATAAAACGAAGACTTAATTATGACTAAACGTGGCTACGGAAAGAGGGAGGAGCTTTGGATGATAACATTTTGGTCACCCATCCTATATCGAGGAATTACAAATGTCAATTTACTTTCATAAACTTAGAATAACGTGTTCACCACTATGCTAAAGAGTTTCATTTAATAGTGAATGTTATTCGACAATAAAATATAATAATTGCTTATGTTTTTGCATTAGCTATAAAAAATAATGAAGCTGACTCTTTAACAGTTTAATGCTTTTGCAACGCACAAATCACAATAACAGTTTTAAAATAAATTTACAAAAATAAACACGATACATTAAGAACTATAATCCAAAAGTTGATTACCATGTTCTATGAATTCAATTTTACTAATTCTGGCATTTAGCTAAATGCCACTCTAAAGGCGGTTTTACCATTACTATGAATTAATATAAAAAACTGGTCAACATATTATGATTTTGACGTCCATTGTTAGAATTGCAAAAGTGTTCAACCGGATAAAGTTAACAATATGAAAAATTGTCTTGTTAATATTTTTTGCTATCAGCTATTATAATTACAGTTTGGATAAGAAACACAGTATGGATAAAATGAATAACAGATTACGTTACCATATAGCACGATGTGGCAAATTTTGTCAAACGCTTATAGTGTTGCTTAAGACAAATAAAATTAAACTTTGATAGGAGACATTTCTCAGTCTAAGATTGCCGCTAGTTATTGTACTTTATTCTACGAGTATTCTCAGAATTTTAGTATGCTCCATAAAAAAAGGAAGTATCTACAAAACTTACCTTTTCACGTATCTAGAGTAATCAACCGTGGTCTGAAGAGAATTCTTCCGTGCTTGATCCAAATGATTCAACGCAGACAGTAAACCTATAAAAAACAATAATAAAAGTTAATAAAAGAAACGAAAAAACACGTATTATGCTAATAGTCGAAACAATCACAGCTAACGATACATTCAGCCATTCCTTTTCCGTCAAAGTTATTCTTTTGTTTGGAACAGCCAAATCACTTCCATGCATCATATTCTTCGAACAATATACTGTTTTCATCGCGTCAAAAATGTTTGAAACCACCGAGTCTGTATCAATAATAGAGTACGCGTTTACGTTACCAACTCCGTCTTTGCGTGTTTCTGCTTCAAAAAGAACTTTAACGTCTAGCGGGTTGAGTAACCGGCCCCTCCCCGTATCAAGTTTTGGAGTATCAAATAAATTATTATGGTAATTAATCAATGTTTTCTCCTAGTCACTGCGGCGCTCCATTGTGAGTGATCGTTGACTCTGTATGTAGTACACGGAGCTACGAAAGTGCTTCAGTATTAAGGATCCTTTTTATTTTTGTTTCAAGCTGAAGTTAAAGTGACCACGTGGTTTTAGTTATTTGGTGAAAGTTTTATTTCCTGCAAATCTTTATATAACTATATAATAGGAATTAAGTTCCTTCAACAGTCATAATTAAAACTATTACTTACTTATTTTTTTTAATTCTGACATATTAAATATATGACTATATAAATATCACTTTATATATAAATAATAAAGAACATTTCGTTTTATTTTTGTATGTTCTTTCGAAAAATGTTGATTAAGATAAAACAATACATTATTCTCCTAAGCAAAAGTTAGATTAAGATTGAGATGGTGTTAAGTAATAATAACAGGCCTTGTAACGTTCAAATAACTTGTGCGCACGCCATTACTTGTAGATAAAAACAGACATACAAAACACGCTGCATCTTATTGTATTGAAAATTTAGATTATCCGCGTGTACAGTCCTCAGAATAAACTGTATTTGTCAGACAGCATTTCGAAACACCACCTCTGCGTTTTTTACAAAATCGCTTTTGAAAGACGAATTAATACCTATACTTATGTAGATTAGCGTTCGCGGTACAATGGATGTTAACATACGTCTTGATAATTTGGTATTACATAAGTCGTGCATGAATACTCGTGATTGTAATAATAGGAGAGGTTTAGAGAGTTATTATTAATGAACAAGAGAGATCACTTGTTTCACTCGCATGTTCAAAACGCCGCGTTAATGGCTCACGATTTTTTTAGGCGATTGTGCGAAATCGATACCGAAATTATTATTGTTAGACATCGATAAATCGGGTATGATCGAGTTTATTACCTCTAATTTATGGAGATCGCCGATAAAGGGGAACGAGAGCACTTGACGAAATGTGAAACCAGTTTATTGGTACGGTTCTAATTCTCACGAAGTTTTATTTACGATCCATTAAATTTAACCAGCTACATATTTCCACTAAGTACATTGTTGTTAAAATAAACTTCTTCTTGGACTTCATAAGGATCTGTACGAGATGACAAATTTCACGTCCGACAAAAACAGGCTTGACTCATTTTCGCAGTCAAATTTATTATTTTGAATTAGAACGTTCAGAAAAAAGGAGACACGGAATTCATTGGCGTAGAAAAAGAATAAGACAATGGATGTGAGGCTCGGACCGAATCAGATAATGTTCAACATAATATGCATTTATAATGCGATGGTGGTGGTTTTTTAGGAAATTTCGTAAGATATTGTGCCGGTTCATTCAGCCGAAACAATGGGGTCCTCATAATGGGTTTTTGAACTCGTTCAATGGAACCTTGTGATCGACGAAAGTTCCTTGCGTATGGCGATTTATGATTCGAAGAAACAGGGTGTGTGAGTATGACTTCCTCTCTCCGGTGTTTAGTAAACAATACGCTACCTCTCTATAAGTACACTGACATTGAGCAATCCCATTGATACTGGTTTTGATAAAACAACTACACTATTAAAATTAAAGCCGTCTCAAAGTGTAATGAACGAGTCTACAACATCCGCATAAAAAGTTGCTTTCTTGTTTCTAAAATCAATTTCCTCAATTTTATTGATAGTTTCAACTAATCAGACAAATGCTGTAAAATTGTTTTGATGATTTAGATTAATAGCTGAATTTTAAGATAATTACGCTATTATATAAAATCTGGACACTAAGAGCTTTTTGAGGTAATATGTGTGTGAACTAGAAAAACAAGAAGTGGTTAAGTAAGTACGTCCATAAAATTCGCACGACCGAATTGGTGAGTCCTCGATTGAATGACCATTTAGAGTGATTCTTGGGAACGTTATAATCCTTACCTGGCATTTACTATGATGGAAATGTCAGTGAGATTGTATTGCATTTTTGGTACGTACACTTTATTACAGTTCTGTATCTATTTCAAGTCAAATGTCACTTAAGATTTAGATAACTTAATTTAAAATGGCTGCGTAGGAAATATGCCACTGTTTAGTTCACAGTAAAGAATATTCACACTGCTTTTCTTAATACTTTACTTTAATCCCTAGGATGTTAAAATGAATCAAACATTGTAGCAGTTAAGATTGAAAATAAGATATTGTATCTCTTCTTCTATCCATCAAAATCGGAGCAACAGGCAACCAAGAGTTCAATAACTGCATCAATCCCTGACTTCAACACTCGTCTTCCATCTAAATTGACATTTACTCAATGCAAGTATCTCTAAAATGTAAATGCGGTTACTACACACACCAATTCACGTACAAGACTTCAACTTGCTGCGGCGTTAACCGTTTCCCAACCAATTGTAAGTCTTATGTCGTCGGAATAAGGAGAAAAAGACATTTCAACAATGGCAATCATCAATGGCCGCTAGACATGTATGCCCAATGTAAGTTGATATGTAATGCTGATTGCTTTATTAATGATTTTTATTGAAACGAGGGCTCCGATATCGCTGGGGGATTCTGAAGGAGGCTGTGTATCGTATTAAGGAGGTAATGAGGCGGGGCAATGGGTGTACGTACGGACAAAGATCTAGCTATTGACACATAGCTTATAAGTATCTACTTAGAATTCTTAAGCTTATTTAACAATCTGTAAACTCGTTGAAGAGTTGTGTTTTGTTATCGCAATAATGATTCGTCATCATCGAAAACCAGCCAAATGTGTGCTAACGCACAACATGTGTTTATCCTTATAAAAAACTTCACCGAATACCATTACAGATATGGAGGTTCCTGCATATCTAATTGAGTTAAAATTGTATCTCATTCCTCATTTGTACGGACACCGAACGAGATGAATCATATTTCTCCCATTCCATATTCATTGCGTCAATGTATGTGATGTCCAACATAATTTTACAGTTGAAAATAATATATTTCGTGCCACCAAATCTTTATGACGTTGCATTAAGACTGTGAATGAAACGAGAAATATTATAGATGAACGCAAATTTCGGTTGTAATACACTACGTACTTTTTATTACAATATTTCGTTTTAAGATATACCGATAAGTTGGTACGTGTCTAGTTTTATTTTTCCATCGATCGATTAGGCATTGTTGCTACGAGATTGGGAATATGTTTTAACGTTTTCCTGTATAGATAGCAGTGTATTAGATATTGTTATTTCCATGCCGGGCGTGAGATCTTTTTGTTGTGTTAATTTTTAGCATCAAATTTATGGGTTTAATTGTTTCCTTTACTTTTATGAGGCTTTTCACAATAGCGATGTCTTGAATTCCCTTGCGTCTCTTTTGATATTTAAGATTTATTTTTGAATTCCGCAAGGTTTCAAACTGAGACCGGATGTATTCTTCAACTAGATAAATGCCTGTATTGGTAACGGTAAAGAATTCTGTGAGGCAATCTTTGTATTGCCTTCGGATATGTTTGCCATGTAATTAAACATTGTGTACAATGTTGTATGTGCATTAATTAATCGGCAATATGATTTGAGACGTTTACACGCAGCACGGGCGGCCGTACCTCAGTCGGCGGATGAAAGAGCGCAGATAATTATGAACGTACGCATGCGTAGATCAAATCGGGATCCATCGATCGATAAGGGATCTAGATATGTTGCCGATCGTTCGTTAGTTACGTGTGATGGCGACTGTGTGTTGTTCCTATTCGTATCGTTATTTACAGTGTTGGTGGTGCGCCGCGTTCTTATTTACGAATGCGATTGGTAATTAATTGTCGAATTAATTTATCCGATCGGCTGTTTGATTGTAAATTGTATGTACCAATTAGTTGAAATTTCGCATGTTTACTACATCATTTGCTAAAAGAATAGCGTACTCGATTTAAACGAAACTGTAACCACAATTCGGAACCGATTTGAAAGAGCAACATGAAAAAACGTCGTTCGATTTAGGGTCAATAGCATTAATCAGCGTATGCAACTAAAGACATTAGTCCCCATCAAATCTTAGACATTACAAAGGCCATAGCAATTATCCACAACATATAATGGGGCCCGGTGTCTGTAAATCTTCGTCTTTGTTCGGGCATCTCCGTCTGTCCCTCCCCTTGCGCTTGCGCCGATTGGAGTAAATGATTCCGCATGATCTTGTTTAGTTTTTGCTCTTGTTTACTCTGTCTTACTTGATAGATGCGTTTTGTTCTCTTTTGTTGATACACACATTGTACGCTCAGTAGTCAATTAGGGACTCGGGCGATGACATAAGGAATTTATTTTGTGATGGTCATGGCTATACTTCTTTTAATACAATATTTAATTTTTAGGAATGTTAAGATTGATTATTGACTCTTTGCTTAGAGGTCATATGACTATGGGTTTACGAGTATTTTTTGTTAAATATGATTAAATGTTCTCTTTGTGTAAAATACGATGCTGAATATGGAATTTGAAAGCGTGTGATTTGGATAAACGTGTTTATTTAATACTTAGTTTTTTGCCTACAACTCACAATACGATAATAGTATTGGTCTAGTTGATTTTAATTTAAAGCTACTTTTTAAACAATAAGAATTAACCGTACCATAATTCAGGTTTGCCTTTAAACTATTACTTACATTTTCGAGAAAAAAGTACAA